ACTTATTTGACCTAGTGTTAAGTTATTGAGGTAAAAATTAGCCATTACCAGCCCGTAACACGTATTTGTAAAATCCAAGTGACTCGTACAACATGGAATTCATATAAAATGAAAAAATCAACAGTGTTATAGGGCAGTCTACTGTATTTTTTTTTTTTTTAAATGACAAAACAAGTTAACAAGTTTTATGGAAATATTAAACAACCACTCACAACTGGGTAAACTTGATAACAGCAGCAACCAAAACCAAAAACCAGCAGAAAAAGTAACAGAGCTAAGTAAGTTGACAGAAGTGGTCTATGATGTAATTGTTGACAGTCTTTTTGAAATGTGTGGGGATGATGACGATTTATCCACAATTGAGTGAAGTTGTGTGCCAGGCTTACGGGTCTTGGTGAATGCGAAAAAACAGCGTGGCAAGAGTAGTGACTATAGCATTACATAGATGAAGGAGATCTGTCAGAGGGGTGTTGGAAAAATGAAGAATCCTGCTCTGTGACCTTTTCTGCTGGTTTTTTGTTTCAGTCACTAGTTTTATGGAGTCAAGTATCCAGGATGCTACTGTAACATATTAGTGATATATAAATTTCTAATTTCAAAAAATTTGCAGTAACAAAATCATTCAGTTTGATAATTAAGAGATACCACTTCAACATCTTGTAACAGATAGATTATAATAAAATCTAATTTCACTTTTATATCATCATATTAAATGCAGTTTGAAGTTAAATAATACTGTTAAATTATTATTAAATATTTTTAGTTCTGAGGAATTGAAAAGTTGAAAATAATTTTTGGTACTGTATTTTCAATTATTATTTATATTTTGTATTTCCAATTACTGATTATCACTTTATAATAATTAGTTTCATCAAAGTAATTATACTTCAATTTAAAACAAATTTTTGAGTTTATACAATTTTTTATTTATAGCATTTCATAAGTTTAATTACAAAATTATAGAACAGCATTAAATATGACACAATGTTGAATTACATTGGTTTTGTCAATTTAGAGAAAATATGCATATTTTCCATCATAAATATCATTACCTAACACCAATAAAGTCAAAAATAATAACTTGCCAAATAATCAAAAGATTTAACCTCAATAATGTTTCACAAATGCAGTTTTTGCTATTTCACAAAGACAAATTATTATCTTTGTTAATTTGATAACATTTGCATCTGAAAAATAACTTACAAGATTTAGTAAATTTGTAACTAACATATCATTTATATCAATTATACCAGTATATGAAGCGTGCAATGCCATAATGTTGTAAATGCCAAAAAGAAACTTTTCAGGAGAGGTAAAAAACATTTTTTCTAATGAATGAATTCATTTCAATTTTACAATAAAATGGTAAAAAACTCACTGGGTTACAAATTCTCTGGAATATCAAAATGACGTAAATATAATCCATAATGTTTTACACACCAAAAGTCACATGACTTGCACTCTGTCACTTTAAATGTTATATTTTCACATAACTTCATCTTCAAAATACAACCACTTACACTGCCAATATCGCCACAATATTCTTTTGTGGCAGAAAACATTTCATTTAGAATTCAATCCTTCAATAAAACGTATTTAGAAAAAAATGGCATTTACAATGTTATGGCATTGCATGCTTCATATATATCTGTTCATTTAATTTAGTAAAGTTATGCCATCACACCTAGATGATATGTAGCAAAGGTTATTGTCCAGACACAAAGAACATACCCCTAGAATCACATAAGACTTAATCAGAACTCCTCAATAGAATCCCTTCTAAATGTACATAGAAAGGATAATGATTCAACCCCTGGGTCTGGTTACTCTCAATACAAGCTGAATGAATGAATTGTCTATTTATTCCTATTTATGTTGCTACATCTGTTTGCCTTTTGTTCTGTTTTTGTTATATTTTACATTAACTATCATTAGACAAAATTATTTTTTAGTGAACTACAAGTTGATTTACATATATGTGTTTTAGTACATTGCTTGTATTTTTACTTTCCTATATTTGCATTTATGTTTTAAATTTTAACCATTTATTTTAATTTAATGTTTCAAATAGTTTCCAAATATCTATGTTCTTGAGGTTCAAAAATTTCAAATTCATACTCTGGGCACAAGCAATTGTAGAACAACAACATGAACATATATTTGATTTAGAGAAATTGTTGTACAAGATGTGAAACTGACACATAGTCTTGAAAAACATTAAACAACAACTTCACCAGAAAACTGGAACTGTACAGTACATGTAGAGTAGAGAATCACACCTAAATGCAAAATTTCCAGCAAAGAAATGCTTAACTTCAATGTTCAAATGTTTTCAGCTGATAAAATAGTGGCCGAAAATGTTCGAACATTGAAGTTAGGATTAGGACTTGACAAGATATAGTCTTGAATGCATAAAAATGCAAAAATTGTTTTGTTGGCTTGCCTACCATTTTCAAATGAAAATACTATCATTATCCCAAATCGGTAAGTAGATCCTAAGCATATTAAATATGCGGTGTTCCGTTCTTGGATTAAATGGGCCTACACTCATTGTACAAACATATGCAATACCTACAAAGAACTGAATTACATTCTTGAGATAGCAATGCAACAAGGTTACCAGAGAAACATTGTAGAAAAACTTATTGCATCATTCCAGAATCAAACTAGTCACTCTCCCACAATTAACTGTAAAAAGATGATGGTACTCAATTATTATCCTTTATGAAAAATGATAAATGAAACTGCAAACGCCAATAATCTACGTATCATTTATCAATGTAATCCAACAGTTTATAAGTTATTAAGGAATGATAAGAGAGAAAAATCAGAACTCTTCGACAGGCATTTACTCCATACGGATAAAAGACCACCTGCTTGATTCCAATATAGTTTATGTGGGAGCTACTTTGCGGCACTTGGAACAAAGGATCAAAGAGCACAAGTACTCAGTTAATAAAAACCTAGACAGTACGATTTTAGCATCATTCTCCAACCAACATGATGTTAACATTTTATGGGACCAGGCTTCCATCATTAGGCCTACGACTAACAAACGTCTGATCAAGCATCTTGAAAAGCTAGAGATGTAAATGTAAATGTCTCCATGCACATTTTATTGTATTTACGCATGCACATTTTATTATTTTTCATATTTTAATTCCTTATGTTCTATTTTAATGTTCTTTTTGTTAATATGCGTTTAACTGACGAAGGCTGTTAAAAACAGTTGAAAATGTTTTTACATTATTAAATATTTTTGCTGAATGATTAACCTGTCCTACGTTGATCCCAAAAATTTTCGGGTTGACCTCATTAAACTGCATGGGCGATCCCGAATATTTCTGTGTTTACAGTGGAACATTTTTGATACTAGATGTCGCTTTGCATCACAATTTTTATATTAAAACAAACTTTTAAAATAAAATTTTTTTCATTTTTATATTATTCAATATATATATTTTGCTTGTGAAACATAAAAAAATAATTTTTTATGATAAAGTAAACACGATTATTATTTTTAAAAAAAAATTTTAGGCTTAACATTGATGAAAATTCAACATGGCATCACAGACAACAAATAAAAATTTCAACATTGAATAGGTTAATGCCAATTGTCATCTCAATTTTGCCAGTTGTGTGAATCAGATTTGACAGCAATGTATATCTAATTCTGCAAAAAATTGAATAAATTAGGCTATACTGCCTATTTTACTCTTGTCATTATAGTTGATGTCAACCATAAAACAAAAATTTGAAAAATATTAAAAATAAATATTCACATTCCTGAAATGTCTTATTTGTCAAAAATATATTTTACTTGTACTTAGAGATCACTCGTACCTGATCATTTCTGGTATATACTATCCAGAACTATTAATAATAAATAAAACTTCTNTTTCAACATCGAATAGGTTAAAAAGGTGATACTTTTATAATTATTCTAGTTCCAGTATAGTTTATTATTGTTTTTTGCCTTATCAAGACAGCCATCTGGGCCCGATGAACATTTTGACATATTGGAAGAGTACTGTTTAAAAAACTTGAGAACACCACTCGCAACGCACCTGCCATTCTTAAAAAGATTACATAATCCTAGCCCCTGGATACCCAGAATCTTTGCATTCGCAAAAACGCATAAGGAGAACAAAGAGGTTCGGCCGATAGTTGAAAAATGCAATGCACCAACATTTATACTGGAAAAGCAATTAAAAAAGTACATCTATGAGGAAATGGAGGATAATATGTACATGGCACATGATCCTAATAAGCTGGTAAACAAATTACAAGATTTGGCTTTAATGAACAATGAAGTAGGGACAATAATCGATTTTGAAAGCATGTACCCATCCAGGAATCTAACTTCTTGCTTCAATGCGCTTATCAAATTTATGATCCAGCATAATCCAGGGTTATCAGCATATATAGAAGACTTGAATAAGCTGGTAGATTTGATTTGCTTCCATTCATTTTTTGGATTCAATGGGGTGATGTACAAACAGAAGATGGGTTTTTCACAACCTTATTATTTTCACCTTAAAAGCATTCACTACTTTTAGCATTATCCAGGATTAACAATGTGGACATAGTAGTTTTCTGCACCCTTTAAGGGTGCTTACTTTCAGTTAGTCACCTTGCCTTTCCCTATTGGGGCGCATGTTTTTGGTGAGTCACTTTACTTCTCACCATTGCTTGAGATATTGGTTTTGGGGAAAATTTTATAACAAATGTTCAAAATGATGCTTTTCCACTTTGATGCATTTGTTGAGCTGCGTTTAAAATTATCAAGCTTGAGATGACCTTCAGAGGTCAAATTCGGAGTACTCAAGGTCATAGATGATTATGAAATTTTCCACTCTTTCCATGTGAATGTAAATTTTACCTTCCTGTCTATTCCAGTAATAAAAAATATGGTTTCCCATTAGTAAAAGCTTTTAATTTTAACCTTAAAATAATCTTGACCTTTAACCTATACCTTAAGATCAAGGGTATATCTGAAAGTAAAATTTCCTACTCTTTCCATTTCTGGGGTCAAAAATGTGTTCCCATTGAAAAAAACGGACTTGACCTCCAAATGACTTTGAAGGTCAAGGTCACATCTGAGGTCACCAACTTATTGCCCCCTTGACATCCTACAACTTTTGTCTATACATTTTTCCAAAATAATGAGATTCAATTAAGATATTTCATTGTCTCAAGATAAAAAAAATACACCCTGTATAAGGGTAAAGTGAACAATAATTGCTTAACTGCAAAAGATGCAAATGCTCTCCCAACAGCCTGGAAATACATAATAGAAAAAGAAATGGGAGTTAAAAACCTGTAAAAAGATATGGTGGTTATGCTTTAACTAGTTTACTCTATTTAAAAGTGGACTTAATAAAAACAAAAAAGAAGAAATGAGAATAAAGATCGCTGAAGATCTAAAGAAGTTTAAAACAAAACAAGGATACATGATGGATCAAAAGGCTAAGAAGTACATAGGTAAATATAACAGATTGAAAAAGTTTCTTCATAGATTTAATTTATGTATTGTAAAAGCAGATAAATCAAGGCAATTAATAATAATGAATTTAACAGATTTAGACAAAAAGAAACAGGAAATTATAAAAGAAGGAAATTTTGAAAAATTAGAGTTAGATCCAACAAGTAACATACAGAAATTATTGAAGAAAATTGTAGGAAAATTAATAAAAGAAGGAGTTATTTCAATTACTGAAAGTAAAGAACTATTACCAGGAGAAAATGTGAGAATGCCAAAGTTAAATGTTCGTATTAAGACACACAAACAAAATAAATGCAGACCTATAGTAGACTTTAAGATGACCGTGTTATATAATTTAGAGATATTTATAAAGAAATCATTACAGGTTATATTAAACTCTGAACTTAGTATAAAAAATACTGATAGTTTAATTTCAAGATTAGAAGCAGGAAGAATTTTGCCAGAGTACCGTTTAATGAGTATAGATATAGTGTCAATGTATCCATCGATTACAAAAGAAATGATTATACAGAGTTTAAGTGAGTATAACACCCCTTTACATTTAATATCATTAATAACATTTGTATTGGAAAACAATTTCTTTGCAGTTAAAGGCGAGTACTTTCGACAAAAGGATGGAATATCCATGGGCTCGGTGGTCGGCCCAAAGCTGGCAGAGATTGTTATGAAAAATATAGATAAAACGTTGCTGAACTTAGGTGGAATAGTTTTTCTGGCACGGTATGTCGATGATATATTTATTATTTATAATAGTAAAATAACATCACCAGAAAAAATCTTAAAAGAAGCTAATGAAATTAATGAACATANAATTTTTTATACCAGTCTACGGACTCGAGACTTATTAAGCCTCCAAAAGTCAGAAACGAATGGAAAACTAGCAGTTTTCCGTGTACTAATGAATAGTACAATTACGGTTAAAAAATAGTTTACTCTATTTTCGATATAGTATGTTATTTTTTAAATTTGTTTGGTTATATAATGTATTAGTAAGTTGTTTATTTAATATTTAATGGTTTAATGTAATAATTTTTAAAAATTTTCGAAAACTTTAAATTTCATGCGTATTCGAAAGCTTTATGTTCATTTTGGAATGATAGTTTCTGATGATAGCCTATAAGAATAGGCTGAAAGTCTTTGAATATTAAATCGCAGTAAGCTTAGCAAGTGTTCTGGTGTTTAATTTTAGTCGTTCGATTATGACATTTAATTTTTTTGAAGTTTCTAAAAATGTGATTATTTTATCTGATAATTTGATAATTATTATAATATAACACAACCGTAAATTTACGAAGCAAATAACTAATGATCTAACATTTTTGGCCACACTCAAAGTCTTCATACATTTGTACTTGACAGGTCCCTTCTCTATCTTTTGTGTCATCTCTTTCAGCACATTTTGACCATCTCTTAGAAAACACAGAATATCTCTGTCGTTTATTTTCAATTCTTTTAAAACTGTTTTTGCTCCAAAACCAATATTCGAATTCTTCAGACGTACGAAGTTTACATTCGCATCTAAATCAATTTTCATGAACTGCTTATCAGTNTTTGTGTTACAAGGTTTTTCATACCTACTATACTCCAAATAATCTTTAAACCTGGTTATTGTGATATCCAAATAATTTAGACTATCTAATTTTTCACACTCATAGGTGAACTTAATATGTTCATTAATTTCATTAGCTTTTTTTAAGATTATTTAATTTTTTAAGATTATCCAAAATTATTTAGATATCACAATAACCAGGTTTAAAGATCATTTGGAGTATAGTAGGTATGAAAAACCTTGTAACACAAACAAAGTTATAAATTTTAGATCGTACTGTCCAATTAATCAGAAAAGAAATATTTATTTAATGGAAGTAAAAAAGATATTTTCTAGAACAACCAGAAGTGAAAAAAGAATAGAAGAACTCAAAAAAATAAATAAGAAGTACTTGTTGAACAATTATCCGAAAAGATTGCTGAGGAACTGGTATGATGAATATTTAAAAAGAAGATTTCAAGTAAAGCAACAAAAAGAAAGTAAAAAGTATGTTTCTTTTCCATATATCCAAGGTATTTTCGAAAAATATAAAAAAATTTTCTGTGAAAACTTAATACAATTGGCTCCATTGCAAAAAAATAGATTATCTGAATTAATTAGAACTGAACCTTACAGAAAGAAAGATTTATTGGAAGAAGATGGAGTGGTTTACAGGCTTCAATGTACGTGTGGAGTACCGTATTACTACGTTGGAGAACACTTGGCAGCAGTACGAAATAAAATTAATACATCCCCGGTATTTTTGCATTGCCATGTTAACAACTGTCAATTAGATATTAATAATGTAAAAGTAATACATAAAGAGAAAAATATTGTAAAAAGAAAATTTAAAGAACATTTCGCGATAATTATGCAAAGTAATGTAATGAATTTGAATAATGGGGTGATACCAGCGGAATGCTGGGAAGAGTTTGTGTTACTTAAAGATTGTAAACGCGATGGTATCAGTGAGAAAGATGTGTCTTCTTCTGTGTCTACGACGGAAAAAAATGTGTCGTCTGAGATACCTTCTGCTGTTCCTATTGTACACTCTAGTCGTCAGAAACCCTACTGAAGAGGCCTTGACAGGCGAAATGCATTTGGGGTGAAGTAAATATTTATATAAAAATAAAAGTATATTTTCCTTGTTAACCTGTTTACCTTTTTTAATTTTTTATACCAGTCTACGGACTCGGGACTTATTAAGCCTCCAAAAGTCAGAAACGAATGGAAAACTAGTAGTTTTCCGTGTACTAAAGATTAGTACAGTACGGTAATATAAAAAATAGATTATCTGACTCCATCGATTCTTTTTGGAATATTTTTATTGATATATAAA